CGATGGGTAGATATGGTAACATGATTCAATGCATATCCATTGACAAGTGTCCAGGCAGCATACTCACTCTCCCTAGCAATTTCAACAATCACCACGGAAATAACAATAATTAATTTGACAATGCTGCTCATTAATTAGTGTCGGAATAGTTCAGTTGGTTGTAAAAAAGTAAAATGGTATGAATTCTGCTAGAGATGTATAATATCATTCCCGCTCTCTAAATGACACCAGTAAGCTACAATCTATTGAAATGTTACTATTCAATTTGATCCACGAGCTAGCGCAAGACATATAAAATACGTCATGAAATTAAAACGCGGAGGAAAATGCCCAGTACCTAGCCAGTTGTTGAAATTCCGAATACGAGGGTTTTTCCCATGTCAAAATCCCGAATGCACTTGCAAGTGCAGCATACTCTTTTCCGCAGTGTGAAATGTTAGTGTACTTTTTGATTATTTCCTACAAGAAAAAAAATGAGTATCCGTGTAACTAAAAAGTTGACCATCTATGAGATTATTTAGAAGTGACCTTCACTGGAGAAAAATAGAAGTTAGCTAGGATAAACATGAAATTTCTTTCTCTACTTCTGAGAGGTTGTGACTTTGAAGAACTGAAAGGTCTGAAATGTTGCACTATGCCAAATATATCAAATTTGAATTCGGAACATATTCAAGAACAGTTAAAGTAAGTCAGGTACCAAGTAAAAGCAATACCTCGACTGCAAAAGCTATCATCAAGGTGCCGTGCAGCGATATCAGGACTACTAAAATCAGTACAATTACAAAACCTTTTGAACTATATCCCTTTCTTGGTCTTATTTTAATCTAATATATCTGATTAAAGTCGAATATCTAAATAAATAGACACTTGAAAAGTAAACGGGGTATAAAATTTCAAAGAAATATCATACAAAAAAAAAACCGAACTTTTGAAATGTGAAATTCATTCATTAGACCAGAAATTATTCAGTTAAAAGCATACAAAAAACTATGTAAAGCAACTAGCTGATGAAAAACCTGAGCTTCTGGACTAAGCTGATCGACAAGAAGTTCGGATATAAATATTCTTGGCAATGGCCCATTAACCCCACTCCCACGACTGGAAGTTGAAACCTTCGGAGGAGAAAACCAGAAAGCTTTCAACTTCTTAGCAGGGAATCTCAACTCTTCTCGTCGTTCGTAACCAAAATCCAAGAAGAACTTTGACATAGAATCAATGCCATGACCATTTACCTGCAGTGATCAGCACCACAAAAAAATGTAATTATTAGTATGCTCACATAAACAAAGTTTTTCCAGATTCCATCTCAAATTTTGCATTAAAGAAGAACAACCGTACCCCAAATGTCCTAAATGCAAAATGATCATAGCAAATCTGATCACCATCAGCAGAACGAACGAGCTCCAAAATAGCCTTAGCAGTGGGGTTTTTATTCAGATATATGGCTTCCATGTTCCCCAATACACTCCTGAAGAATGATTCACTTCCCTGAATACTCAAATCCAAAAAATTTAGTCAATCAACATCACTCAAAAAAGAAAAAACTAAATCCTATTAGAAGATGAAAGTAGTGTTGCAAGCTCAAAATAACTAATTCATTCAACATGGTGTTGGAGCAAACTGAGATTCCGGTCTTACAACCGGGACACGACGACAACAATTACACCTCAGCCCCAAACAAATCGGGGTCGGCAATATCAGTCCCACTTCTTCATTTAAGCTCATTTCATATAATCATCATAATAATAATATTTGAAGTTCTCTAACAAATCTAAAACCTATTCTCAACTAGTATATCACTTTTTTTTTTCCTTTCATTGTGTCATACAACCAATTCTCTTGAGTTCGAGGGTCTCTCGGAAATGACCTCACTACCTCCAAAATAGGGGTAAGCTATGCGTACACACTACCCTCCCTAGACCCTACTCGTGGGACTACATCAAATATGTTGTTGTATTATGCCCTACAACCATATCAATATAAATATTTCCAAAGTATTGGCCCACAAAAAGAATTGGGTCCTCAATTAAGCAACATTTTGCTCGAATGGTAAGTACCCTCGACCAGGTTATAAATAGGAGCAAAAATGCAGGAGCTATTGGGGTTAAAAACAAAAACTTATACAAACCTAAAAGGCTAAAATAAACAAAAAGATTGTTCCTTTTTAACAGCTACTAGATGAAACTATACAGAAAAAACCTTTTTTTTTAATCATAAGATGAGCCAGTACACCACATAAAAAATCCATAAAATCCTACATAGTAATGAGATTATACCATAATTAACAACAACTAATCAATGATTATACACAAGGGGTTTGATGAAATTAACCTGAAAAGAAGAATCTTGAATTACACCTCCATTTTGAGCTTTAGAAGCAGATAACACTGAAAAACTCTGATTTTCCATTGGAGTTTTACAGTTCAAAAAAGGGTTCTTGAAATTATTAAAATGGCTAGAGGGAAAAGAGATGGATTTTGGAAAAATTGATGATTTGATTGAAGAAGAAGAAGATGAATAGACACAAAACATGGAAGATGGGAATTTGATAATTGATGACATCTTTTTTTATTGTTTAGTGTTTCCTTATTTGGGGTTTATCAAGTGAGAACAATTGTTCATTTTATCGTATCGTTTCAATTTATATGAGTTAGTTTAACTTAAAAAGATTTTTAAAATGAATTTTAGATATTTGTGTAGCTAAAAGTTATTTTATTAAAAATAAATTAAGCATTTTACAATTAAATTATTATTAAATGTAAAAATATATCTAAAAATATTAAAACGGATTAAAAAAACGTAAATCATATAAAATAAGACGGAATGAGTAGTGTTTTGTTGTGTGACGTTTTTGTGTCATCAAGAAAATTGTTGGGACTCACTTACACGTTGTTTTGGATTTGGATTAACACAAATAAAAATGATTGATTTGTTAACGAAAAGACTGCGGATAAATGATGTGGAGGGGCGGCAGATAAGGTTGCTATTCTTTTAATTAAATATCTTGAGTTTGAATGAAACTAATCCAAATATAGAATAATTATATTCTAATATAGGTATTAAAAATCAGATAGAAAATTAAAAGAAAAGATTAATGAACATAGGAGTAATATATAAATGTGTTATATAACTTGTTTTTAGTTGACATTTATGTTCTTCAATTTTGAGTGAACAAAATATGTAATTGAACAAATAGACACAACGTCTCGCATTAGATGCATATGACAAATCACGTGAGATTTATCATAGATAATGTAGGATATTGGATAAATTGCCTATATGCACACCTTTTTTTTTCCATAATTCCCATTATTCCCTACCAGTTCTAAAATTTTCCAAAATCCCTTATTTTACTCCCAATTGCTAGATACATAAATCCTAACTTCCAAAACCAACATTTATCCCTTCCTTATTTCACTCCACAAATCTCTCCTTATTTTTAGTCACAGAATCTTGATAGTTATTTTTCCATTCATGTTTGAAATTCAAATCAATCTCCTTTCTATAGTTTTAAGGATATTTTTAGACAAAAAAAAAATTAAAAAAGATATCTATGAGTCTTTTACCTATTTTTAAAAATACTCCAAAATTTATAATACAATAAAATAAGTGAACTTCAAATTTTCAACACTAAAACATAAATTAGAAGAAAAAAAAAAGAAGTAACAGTAGTAGTTATTATTTGGTAATAATCAGTTTTTTTTCTCGTCTTCTTGTGAAACCCTAAACCTCGAAAAGGTTCAATGGTGACAATACCAATTAATCCGAAGACTTTTTTGATCAATTTGATTGGAAAGCCTGTGATGGTAAAGGTAAAGTGGGGATTAGAATAGAAAGGGTATTTAGTCTGTGGATTCATGCATGACCTTGGAGCTTGCTAATGGGCAACAATATAATACCTATCAATTTAAATGAGATACATAAATAGTAATATATCATGCACTATTTTTTTTAAAATATGATACGTAAATTCGAATTTATACTAAATATATCAATTACATAACAACTATCGCATGATAATGTATCGATCTCAAATCTGACATCTTATGGATAACAATTACTTTTTTAATGTATCTAGTATAAATACAATATTATCAATTTAAACGAGATACATAAATAGTAATGTATCACGCATTAATTTTTTAGATATGATACGTATTTGAATTTATACTAAATGTATCAATTACATAGCAACTACAACATAGTAATGCATCGATCTCAAATCGAACATCTTATGGGCAATAATTATTTATTTAATGTATCTAGTATAAATACAAAACATATCAATTTAAACATGTATCTAGGTGTTGCTATGTATCTTCTATCTTATTCAAATTTAGATATATTCAAATTTTGATACATAAACTTAATTAGCTTTGATACTTGATACAAAACTTCAACCAAACGTATCATTTATCATGTATCTAAGTGTTGGTATGTATCCGTAAACAGTACATGATACATTAAAGTGTCACACAAGTAAGTATCAGATTCATAAATGGTGTTACGTAAATGTTATTATCAAAAGTTTGTTTAGTTTGAGGCAAAATGTGAAGATTTTCCAGCTATGTATCTGATACAATAAATATGGAGCGCATTAATACATATTAAATCATGTACACAACATTCTATCTTTTAAACAGTGTTAATATCAAATACAAACTTTTTATCAAACACAACTGTACAAATTGTGTGTTAGATACACAATTTTATGGAACACAATATTACATCTACTAAACCATATAACTGATACATGGTATAATGTATCGGATACACAATATTCTATTCTTGCATGAACAAATACACAATTTTTTAGACATGATACGTAAATTCAAATTTATACTAATTGTATCTAATACATTGCAACTACCACAAAGTAATGTATCGATCTCAAACCTAACATCTTATGGACAACAATTACTTATTTCATGTATCTAGTAGAGATACAACACTTATCAATTTAAACGAGGTACATAAATAGTAATGTATTGATTGTTTATTTATGTATCTTGTTTATTGGCACCAATTGGGTCCTTCTTGTCAACGCCGACATCAAAATATTGCCTCATGTCTCTCACGATAAAACGACCCAATGTTGGGTACTCAACAAAGGTCTCAACAACCATAGGCTTGGTGGGAATCATCTTAACTATACCAGCATCACCATTCTTCAAGAACTTCACCTCCTTCTCCAGTTCCTTACCTGAGCACCTGTCAATGTTGGTCAAGATCTCAACAAACTTTTTAGTAATGTGGGAAGTGTGGCAGTCGAGCACTAGTGAATATCCAATTCGAATCTGATTAGGATAATTCATGATGATGACCTGAGCACCTGTCAATGATCCCCTCTTAATTACTTAATTTTCAATGGAGATGAGTTATTACCTTCGACGATGTATTTGATTTTGAAGATTTACCTAATCTCATCGATCTCCAACTCGATTGAATGTCGGCTTTGAGATTCATAAATGAAATCGATTGTCCAACAACAATTTTATCAATTTTGTAACCTTCATAACTCATCTCGCTTACCCAAATTTCTGATTCTCTCAACAAAATCAATATATATTAATATTGTATCAGTCAATATTGTCGATTAATTTAAATTCTTCACGATTTGGGCTGCAATAGCGGCTTGATGGAAATTATAGAAATTTGAATTTTGAAAGATATGAATCTGTTACAGATTGGGATGGATTGATAACAATCACTTATGCTTGAATCATGGGATATAAAATCAATTTTAGGTTAATTTTCCTAATAAAGCGCAACACCAACTATTTTCCTTAAAAGGTGCTACTGCCAGCTTTTGCAAGTATCACATATAATGTATCCGGATGACTTCTTTTTAAGGGATTTTTGTAAAATAGAAAAAAGTAGGGATATAATGTAATTTAGATTTTACACTATGAAATTTATGTAAGTTATACTATAATGTATGTGTCTCTTTGTTCAATTTTATAACAGTTTAAGTATCTACTTATATATATATGAGGAGCATAAATGTAAAATCAAATTAAAATGTATATTTATATATTATGCCTAGGAAAAATGTTGAACACTTCTTTTGTAGAAACAAACATATTTTTCTAGAAAAAAAACAAATATTTATTCTATATTACGTTCATTTTTACATGTTCACCGTACTAATATTTTTGTTTGTTCAAATTGCACAATAAATAAATAAATTATTATTTATACTTATTTATTTTTGTTCTTATGCATTAATTATTTTTAATTTATTTTTCAGTATTAAATGAATTATAATAATTATGACTAATACGACTAAATAATAAAATATAATTTTATCATTGAATTATAAAGATATGTCAAATCAAGTATGACATATTTGTTTTATGAATTTATATACTGTGCTTATGTTTGACGATGCTATTTTTAAGTTTGATTTTTTAGATTTAATTTATCAAGGTAAGTAACTGTTTTTGTGTGGACCAGTCAAATAAATTAGGTAGATACATTTAAACACATTATTTTTTCTTAATTGTACTAAACACGTTAATTGAGTGATTAAGTTGTATACGAAAATTAAAAGTCCAAATTCAAATAATTAAAGTCCATTTTGACAACAGGTAAGTTATCTACTTAAATTTTGATAGACAGATGTCGATTTTCTTTTTGTAATTATAACAATAGATAAGCTAATTGCGTGCAAAATTGATCTGTCGGCTAAATGCACTAATTAATTTAAAATTAAGTCTAGTTGATTGATTGCCAATTCTTTTCTAAAAAACAAAATAAAAAAAGGAAGAAAAATAGTACTATAAAAAGAAAATGTATGTTATATAGTTTGCCAAGTCGTCTCTATTACTGTTAAGAAAAATATAAAGCATGATTAAATACGAAAATGGAGAAAGTCCTGACAAAATGCTATAAATAATTTATTAAATTACTCTACACGATAGTCATAATAAGATAAAATAATAATAGAAGTGTAAAACACTCATAGCCAATGACTAAACTCAAAGGACAAGAAACTACAAGAGTAATACTATGACTAATGATACGACTAATAGTACAGAAGAATAAGTGAGACAATATTGTTCAGCTATCTAACTAACCTCCTACCCTAATTTGTATCCTTCATAACCTCCTAGATATATAAGGTCATGTCCTCGATAAGCTGACGTTGTTGTCATGTCCTGTCTAACCTCCTCTCCCCAATACTTCGTCTTATTTCTACTTCTCTTGAAACCATCCCTAGGCAACCTCTCACACTGCCGCACTGGAACATTTGTGGATCTCCTCTGCACATGTCCAAATCATCATAATTTCATTTTCTATCGAGGTCACTCCTACCTTGTCTCGAATATCTTCATTCCTAATCTTATCTCTCTTAGTATGCCCACACATCCATCTCAACGTCCTCATCTCTAGAATATAAGAATCAAAAATAGGGAAAAGTTCTTGATAAAAAAAGAAGAAGGAAAATTAGATACATATGAACCAAAAAATATATATATTTGTATCACATAAACAAAATTGAAATTTCAGAAAGTTTTAGCTCAAGATAACTATTTATGCATAGTCTTCACTTCCCATAACATACATATCAACTATTTTCATAATTATTTCTATAATTGTATCTTCAAGTGAAGTTTATGTACATAACTGAATATATTACATTTATTATTTTCATAATGTGAAATATAATACATACTCCATTAGAAATTAAATCTTGAAAAAACCTATAACCAGTTAAAATAATAACATACCTTTTTTATTGAAAAAGCCAATAAATAAGATATTTTATTAGATATTATTTTTCTTTAGGACCACAGAATTATGTGTGACAGAGAGAAACTTTGAATCTAGTTAAAGCTGCCTAGAAGTAGTATTTTTATACTAGAATATAAAGTACTCTCCGTATCCGATGGAATTGGAAAGTGTATCCCCTTTCGTATAGCGGATAAAGTTACTCCTTTCTTAATTAAAAGTTTCGAATTTAAGTTTTGAATATGAAAAAATTCTTAATAGAAAACGCTTTCCTTCGAATGTGATCTTGTGTGGAATGAATCTTTCTTTTAAAAATCACGATAGATAATTTGAGACGGATAAAAATATGATCTCAAAATCACACTTCCATTGATTGAAATATTTTTTGATTTATTCTATGAAGGGATAGTGTGGAATAGCTTTTTGTTTTTCCCATTATTTGCATTGCAAGAGTTTACGAAACTAAAAGTCGACCTTTATTTGGCATTATAAGCTATTCTTTACGTTTTTCTTTAATGGTATGGTATATTATATAAATAGCTCTTCCTTTTGAAAAGTTGAGAGATTTTTTTTTTAATCTTTATATTACTAGGTATAATTTTTCAAATTAAATGAATTATTAATAGTCAAATTTAAATTTTCAAACATAGTAAGCCACTAAAAGTAAAAGTGAACTTTGAGAGTATTATTATAATCAAAAAGACAAAATTAACATTTAGATAATGAATTTTGAATTATAATTTCTTTTGATTACTGAATTTTGAATATATTAATTAATTTTTTAACACAAATATATAATTTTTAAGTTAAAATTATTAAATTTTATCGAATAGTAACTATACATTTGACTCCAGTCGTAATTGGAACAATCTTTTTTTTGTTCTGTAATTGAAGATATCTATTATCTACTCACTAATATCAAAGATTATATATTTTTTTCTTAATCAAAGTTTTGGATAAATAATTAATTTTAGTAAGAGCATTTTAATCTACAAAATGATTTTTTTGGTGCATGTAAATTAATCGAACTTCAAAATAAATACTAGTAATAATCGAGTGGGAAAATATTTTCAAACCGCAAGAACCGAATAATTAATTATCCATGACGTGCTCTTTATAAATATCTGACAAACCAAAATCTATTCAGGTGAGATCTACTGATCGGAAAAAATGTCGACAGTTACTATAGAGCCTCTCGCCGGCCATTATCTCCAGCGAAGCCCAAAGCTATATCCAAATCCGAAAAAAACCTCTCAATTTTCTCTAAACTACTCTCGGAGGCCACTCTCTGGTACCGCAACTTTGAGATTTTGCGATTATCGGCGTCGCCGGACGGTACCTATCCGAGCTAGATCCACTGATGCTGCCGTCATTGAGACGTCGGAACAGTTGGACGTCGTTTTTACGGAGACTTTCTCGTTGAAACGACCGGAAAGGGTAAATTATTGTATTTGATATTTATTCGTGTGTATATTTATTGGATCATTAGAAATGAGAGATTTTTATAGGAATTAATGAGTATTTGAAGCTTGAAGAATTGTGTTTTTTCGCGTTTCCCGCCATTTCTGTGAGGAATTTCCTTTTTGTTAATTAATCCAAGCAGTTTTGGATTGTTTGTTAAGTGTAAAAGCAAACTCTGCATGATTGGGCGTGGTGTGTTCTCTCTTGGTTCAAAAGAATTAATATGTGTTTGAATCAGTGTTTAGCAACTATTCATATTATTTTTTTGATGGTTTTCAACCCAGACCACTAGGCCTGCACAACTATTCATATTATATGTTTTCATAAAGGGGAAAAAAAGGAAGAAGAAGATTGATCAAGCTAACAAAAGTAGAGACTAGAGAGAGTAACTGAAAATTCCGCCGTCATTTATAGATGTGCAGTTTTCTTTAATATGTTTGAATCTCCTCCATTTCTTTAATAAAAGTGTAAGTGTTATTTGGCGAGCCCATTAGTGGTATGGCGAAAGAATGAAGAGCTGTTGAGGACTGATTGTCTTGTTTTGATATTGCAGGCTGTAGGAAAAATATCCATCAGATTGGATAAGGGGAAGGATGAAGAGAATTGGCACCTCTCTGTGGGATGTAGTTTGCCAGGGAAATGGATCCTTCACTGGGGGGTCCATTATACGGATGACACTGGCAGGTTAGTCTGGTTTGAAAATGGAAGCGCTGCTATTTTTTTGACCTTTGGAGGTAGGAATAACTAGGTGAATAAATTTTACAATATCATGTATAGAAAAGGAATTAGCTTTAATGCCAAGTTATAGTCTTTAAGATGGGGAAAATAGCTTTTTAGTTCTGGTTTGGAGATTTATACCTCGTCAACTTTTGTGTAATAGTTATTGATATCCTAAAGACTCTGAATATATTGTTTTTAAAATTTATATTTTAATCTGGCAGTGAATGGGATCAACCTCCTCCAGAGATGCGGCCGCCAGGTTCAATGGCCATAAAGGTGTCTGCTACTACATCCCTCTAGCTAGTTTGCTTCGTCCCTTTTTCTGTTAATATTTCTTCTTGAATGTGGATATAATGCTTCAATTTCAATTTTCATGAAGGTGTCTATTTCTTTCACATATTTTTCTTTAAATGTGAATTTCATTGTCGTTACAGGATTATGCAATTGAAACTCCTTTGCAAGGAGAGGCATTTCAAGAGGTGAAGATCGACATAAGTTCTAAGTGGTCTATTGGAGCTATAAATTTTGTGTTGAAGGTGAGCTTCTGTGCTTAGATGTTTCAATTTTCTTCTGTACGTGTTATGCTGCTAACGATGCATTCAACAAAA